TATTCGAGTATATAAAATTCGGACGTTTACAAGCTTTTCATCTTTCCCTCGTAACAGAATTATTGAAAGACATACACAAAATTAAAAAATGAGATAATACTGTTTAATATTTTATTAATGCATAACAATGCACGCGATATAAATACTGCATATTCCAATGTCTTGGAAACAATAATATATAATTGATGCTTTTAGCTAACAAATTTATCATTCTTAAAAAATATAAAGAGATACGATTGTATACGATTCAATTTTATTAGATACTATTTAAAATTTTTTTAAAATGTGCTTTTAATAAATATTTCATATACAAATTTAATATTCACAGATTACACAATTTTAAAATTTTAATAAGAATTAATTATAACTAATTATAAAATTTTACGAAATACATGTTGTAAATGTGACTATTGGAAATAAATTATATTGATTAGTCTTCTGACAGATAATTTTCGAAACGGAGTATATTGAATTTCACACGACAAAGCAATTTTTGCAGTTTCATATAGCAGTCTTCTTTTTACATAATTTTTTTTACATGCCGTTGCACATCCCTAATACATTCCATGCATTCGATTAAATTGAATCTTTTGAACGTATTTTGAAAGCGTCATCAAATTACAGGAACCTTAATTTTACTAAAACGTCCTAAAAATTATTTGGACCAGCTAATAATATTCATCGCTCGTTTGTTCAAGAAACTTTAATCCTACTCGCTCTAAATACGACTTATTTAGCATATGGTAACTCATTGTTGAATGCAGCAAAATTTTACTACGATCAAAATTACATAATGACAAAAAAGTAAGCGGAAGATGTTCGTAATGATGTTTGCCACTTACGATATTTCGTTTAATGATTACATGATGTGAAACGCGTTTGTGTATAAAACGTGTGTATGAGAGGATTTTAATATACGCGTGAGTAAGAGTTACCCTTTCGTAAGTATTACAAATGAATAGGCCTTTGTTCTTCAACGCACGCAAAAGTATTTAACGTGTTAAAAAAGAATGTCGCACAGACGATCATTTTCACTAAATAAGCTCTACGCGCTCGTTCGGTATTTCGATTCTACTATGTTAAATACTAACGTCAAAAAAGTATACTTTAGTTAGGATACAATCTTAGGTATCGTAATTGGAATACAAAACTCAGTGTTAGAAAATATCAGGGTTTCCAGCGTCTCATGTCCGCTCGTAATACTAACACATGCTCTCTGTTTTATTCTGTCCTAATTATTGTATCAAAGAATATTTCGTTTATAGAGAGTAGCGTGCTTATATAACGCTAACAACATTTTTTCCTATGCTGTTTTGTGCTTTTTCTTAAGTTGACTGTCTCATTAGTCTGTATGGCTTGCCGTTCCTTGCGTTCTTTTTTGGTCCGCAATACTTGCCGCGTTATCGCCATGAACATCTGCAAGTAATTATTAAATTGCAGTGGAGTAGGAAATATATATTAATTTAATTAACAAAATTTACAGTATTCTTGAAGTTGAATAAAATTCAATAAAATTAGCTTTATCAATATAATAAAAAAACAAGCGTGAAAGAAAAGCTTAAAGTTTTCAGTTTTATTTCAGTTTTATAGCTTTATAAATAAAAAAAACTAATGTGATGCATACTTCTTCAACATTGATGTTGTCCTTAGCGGAAGTTTCAAACAACTGGATCCCCATTTGATTAGCAAATCTTTGTGCATCTTCTGTTAACACCACCTTTTGATTAGGTGCGTCATTTTTATTTCCTACCAGTACCCTGTTAACTACATCACAATTCTGTTCGATTTCATGTAACCACCGTTTAACATTCGCGAAGGTATCACCGCTGGTCACATCATACACAACTATAACGCCGTGTGTTCCCCTATAGTAAGTTGAAGTTATTGTCCGAAAACGTTCTTGTCCAGCGGTATCCCAAATTTGCAGCTTTACTCGCTCACCGTCTACCTCCACAGTTTGTATCTTAAAGTCCACTCCTATTGTAGTTATATAACTGCCATTGAAGGTATTGTCAGCGAATCTCAGAAGTAGCGAGCTTTTACCTACACCTTAAAGACAAAAGAAAAAATATATTTTATACATATTAAGGTGTATATAAATAAATATTTGAAAATTATAAAAAAGATACAAATATCTTCATGATAAAATTATACTTTGATAAACATGTTTGTACATAATTCTAATATAAGTTTTATATCACATAGAATTAATTACTCCTGTCTATATTAAATTAATTAGAATTAAAAAAACAAGCTTTTACCTATGCCTTAAAAACAAAAGAGAAAAAATATATATATA